TCCTTTATTCTGCTACCCCAAAGAGGGTTGTGAGAGTTAAAATCCCCCACCCATATGACTGGGGTCCCTATTTGTTCCATAATCCTCTCTAACTCACTTAAATTTATTTGTAAACACGGATTATAAAAGTTTACTATGTTAATCCACCTCCCCCAGATTTTCCGTTTCTATCGTATCTGACAATTTCGTATCCAGGAATCATAAAATCTAAAAATGGTTTAAGCCAGGTTTCCTGAATACATATCACCTGTGGTAAGTCTTTAAATTCATCTACAAATCTCTTCAATTCCTGCCCATTAGCGACCAAACTCCTTGCATTCCATTGTAAGATGTAAAACATCAGCAATTTAACTATCATTATTTACTTCCATGTTTCTTTCCCCCAGTACTCTCCTCACTTCTGTCTGTGTTCTTTCCTTTTCCCCTCTCTCTTTCATATACTTCCAGTTTCTGCCTCATATACTTGTGCAGCTCTTCAGTACCTAGATACACCTCTTCCAGGAATCTCTCTGCAGCATCCACCACCACTTTGATAACATCAGATCTTCTGACTGCCCACAGAACATCTACCATGAACGCCAGGAACGACTGGCTTCCCACAATCTGCCTTGCTTTCTCCTTGACTAGAGGGACATCATAAGCCATTTGCCTGGAAAGTTCCCCCGTTCCTCTCACTTTCTTCAGAGCTTCTGCATATGACATTTTGCCCTCAACTCTCATTTTCTCAATTTCTACAGCTCTAACGTGATGCTCACACCCCCTAAATGAAGATACATGATTTCCACCACAGTTACAGCACTTAACTATGTCAGCTTGACATTGAGTATAGTCATGGCTTCCTCCACACTTTCCACACCTTTTATTTCCTCCGCACACTGCTGCTACATGGCCATAGTGTTGACAGTTGTGGGGGGCGAATGTATAGTCTCACTGGAAAGCTCATATATCCAAGACCGACTCTTGTTGGCATATTATCTTGCTTGAATGTTACTAGCACAGCGGTGCCAGATTCTTTGAATCTCTGTACTGCTTCAGTCTCAGCTCCTTTTAAATTCTTAAAGATGGTACTCTCTGCTATCTCAGGGCTTACGTATATTATTCCTTTAACATTTTTAGCTTGACCAGGTATGAAACATTCTATAGGCCTGTTGAACAGATGGCTAACTTTAAGGGCATTCAACCTCTGAGTATCGTTTTTGCAGAAAACAAGTATAGGCCTATTTCCATTCATCATCATTTTAACATTTAGAACTTTTCCCATTTTGTTTTTTAGCTCCTCTGACAGTCTGAGAGGGTTTAAGGCCTTGTCACTCTTATCTTTAAATTGAATTATCAGCTTAAATCCACCCTCCTCTTCAAACCTTGACATTTTCCTCATGTTTTGGGAATCGTCACTTTCACTCCCATTGTCGGATCTATCTCTTTTTTCAGTTTGCCTGGGATTTTTATCATTGCTCCCCCCTCCCTCATTTGGCTTCCCTTTCAGCGGCATGGCCTAACCCCCACCAGGTAGGCCTGTCTGCTGCTTCTAACAGGTCTTAATCAGAATTCTCACAGGGGATGCCAAGTTGAGATGTTGTATAGGTCTACCCAGGGGTGTAGGAGCGACTTTGAACCTGGGGGGGGGACGCTGAAAAGCACTTAAATAGTTCATAGATAAATAGTCTGCAAATAGTTGTATTATTTTTCTCTATTCTTTTTAATATTATTATATAACTTGCATTGTTTATTCCATATTTATATATTTCTACATTTATTTATGTCAACTGTATGTTTGTCTGCGTGTAGCACCTTATCATCAAAACAAATTCCTCATATGTGTTAAACACTACTTGGCAATAAAGCTCCTTCTGATTCTGATTAAATGCTCATTACTAATGACTATTGAAAACGGAATGCAGTTATTAGTGTGGCTGAAAGAGGGTCTTTGAAGTGACAGAAGATGGAGAATAGACTGGAGAGGGGAGATTATGAAAACTCGAAGAGGGAGAGGATCAGAGAGAGGGAGTATAATATAACTAGAACAAAACCGACTACATACCATAAAAAACATGGAACAGCTGCTAGTTAATGTAGCCACAGTACAAATGTATTTAGTTATCCCAATGTTACCCTTGAAGTAGCTGTCTGTGATATTTCCTGTGTCTCTCTTGTCCCTGACTCTTCCTGCAACAAATGTTTGTGAACACAGAACTGTTTTCAATGCAAACTCTGATGACATGCCCTTGGAATAACAAAGTCTTTTTACTACATGAATTTTAGAATTTACTATGTCTAGTAGCTATCCATACAACTTACAACCTCCTCAGTTTTTTCTACTCCTGCTCCTGTGACCTCTGTCCTCTTCCTCTTAAAATACTGCAGGATGCTCGTCTCTGTGTGAACAGTTTGAATACTTTTCAAATTGTTTATGGGCACATAGCAGAGACACATACACACCTCATGGCACCGGTTTTTAAGGTCAAGGATGGTCACAGACGGAGGCAAAAAAGTGGCCCAGGAGTTTGTCCCTGGTAAGCCCACTCTCCAGACAAAGCGTTTGTCAGGCCCTCTGGGTCTTTAGAGACTTTTATTCCTGCATTCTTGAGAATTTTATGCAAGTGGAGTACATAACTAAATGAGCCATTAAAATACATTTTCAAAATCATCATTCATCCCTCTAACACTCCTAAAGTAATCACTTCAGCTGAGCCCTTGAGTAGATAACTAATAAGCCATATCATCATCAATCTTACCATAAACTGGTGCTTTGAACTGTGCTGGCTTTGACTCTGTTCTGCTATTGACCTCATCTCTGCTGTCTGTCTCATTTTCACCATGTCAGCGCTAGTACTGGTGCCGCTGGTCAGTGGCAGGTAGAGTACTCAAAATCTTTACTCAAGAAACAGTACAATTACTCCCATAAAAGAAAAAAATGACAAACCTACTCCAGTAAAAGTATAATAATATATTTTATCTGCTGTTCATCAGGTTTGAAACAGCTGCAACATGGTTATTTCTATGGAATGAAATTTGCTTTGCTGGTTGATTATCTTTAGCTATTTCTAATAATTATTTTCCTTTTTTAAATCTCAATGAAAGTGTTGATAAGATCACTTAATCATCACTATCATGCTTGCTGCCCAGCCACTATTGTTGCCTGTATCTTTTATTATGGACATGTGGCCAACCAAACCACTTGCTTTGCAGCAGCACATGCTTCCAAAACAATCTGATTATTCCTAAAGCATCTAAATAATCTTTACATCGCAAAGAATGATTGTGGCAGTAACATGGAGCAGCTCGTTGTTGAAGCAGGTAAAACTATATACAGAGGAAGCTGTGCGTCACGCGTAAAACCCAACAGGACTGTTTTATCCACCATATTTTCTCTCTCTGTGCATCTCAAAAATGATTGTTTCCTGAATAAATAACAGCTAGAAGCTGCTGAGTGAAAGCCAAGATTAGTTTCACCGGCGACCTTCTTTTCAAATCGCTATTAAACAGTAACCAATGTAAAATAAATAAATAAATAAAAAACAGGCTAATATCCATCAAAATAAAGCGATGCTCTTTTCAACAACAGGATACTGTTAATGTATCAGAATCAATCTAGTGATCATCAGACTTAGATGTTACAGTGTGAAGTTTACGTTTTCTCTGCAGAAACTAAATACGCTTTTAATGCGCCGTTAATGGAAAGTGAAAGTAGGTTCATATCTGTGATAACCGCCGGTCTCTCTACCACAAAGGAGACCTGGCGCTCTTCTGCGTAACTGCGCGTAACGTGGCTGACAGTTAACGAAGCTTATTGTAGATTACAGACTGGTGAAGTTATGAAGGTATGAATGGAAAATGTAGCGAAAGTAAAAGTAGATTACTGGCCCAAAGAAATTACTGGGGTAAATAGTAAATGTAGGCTACAGTTAAAAAAAAAATTATTATTATTACTATTATTTTTTTATTTTGAAAAATTACGTTACTTGTAACAAGTCACTACCCACCCTCCAGCACGCGTCGCCACTGCTGTCTTCAGGTACAAAAAGAACAGCACAAAATAAACGTAATATTGAGGCACTTTGCTACACCTGCTTGAGCAAACTCTTTTTTTCTCCCATAACTTTTCAGCACCACATTTGCCTTCTGACGCATGTTTTCTATAGGCTACATGATTTTTGTCGCGTTTCAACCGTTTAATCATGTCTGATGCAGAGTGTGTGATTGATTAACTAGTCACTCAAACCGCCTGGCTATGAGCCATCTCCGCCGAAACAAGTGAGGGGGACAAAACATTGATTTCGAAAGGTGGGGGGGACATGTCTCCCTCATGTATAATGGCTCCTATAATGGCTCCTATGCGTATGGGTCTACCAGTCACAGTGTATGGTTGATTAGTCAGAAAAGTCATTTGAATCGCCCTCCAAACCGTACAACTCTGCCACGTCCGGAACACCTGTTTTTTTATTGTGAATTTGTGCAGTCCTTTTGGTGTGATATGTGGAGCTGGCTACAGTCCAAGGAGATTGTGTCTTCACCATTGACAGTAGAGTTAGTTAAATTTGGTTTGTTTGTGGGAAACAAGGATTTGGATTTTGTCCTTAACGTTGTGATGCTATTGGGGAAATCCTTTATACATAAATGTAGGTTCTTTAAGACTAAACCCTGCTTGAACCATTGGAAGAATGAGATAAAAGGTTTGAATAAGTCACTGAAACTTGTAAAAAAAAACAAGAATATATATATATATATATATATATATATAGAAATATATATATATATATATATAAAGGGGTTTTTTTTGTTGTTTTTTTTAGCTGTTATTTATTTACTGTATTATTTGTTTTATCATTTGATGTCGGCTTTGTTCTTTGCTTAACCTGTTGTAAACAGTGTAAGGATAGATGTGATAAGATGCCTGATTTTTTTTGTATCTTGTATCCTAAATAAAGGGGAGAAAGAGGAGGAAAAAAGAAAAAAAAACACTCCGCCACGTCCGGTTCCGCCAGCGCCGACCGCTTCCTACTACAATCAGCGACGTCACACAGAAACACCTTGGTCGACAACTTCTTCCCAAGGGGGTAAGTCAGAGATCGGACAGTGAAGCCGACCAAAGCCTGCATGGAGGGATCCATGTAGGCCCAAAAATGACGTCAAAACCCTGTGACACCCCGTCGCACATGAGAGATGTAACCGTATTGCTTAGATTATAAATTCTCGGCAATCTCAAAAAAACTATTCGGCGATCAGTGACGCTGCTTTGTTGTTTGACAGATGAGCCTCGTAGGTGGGCTGATTAAAAAGTGACGATCCGAGTCAGACAAACCATGAGACTTTTTGTTGGCGCATTTATACAACTACCAGAATTACGGTGTTTCTGCTGTTGTTCTACATCATTAAAACAGGGTTATGCTGCGCGATCATGCGCAGTAGACGCTGGTGCCAACAGGAAGTGGCCCTGTAGTAGTATTTTATTGGTCCAAAACTGGCTTCACTGCTCTCCATTCAAATCAACGTGGTGGCTTCGTCCAGTAATATACTGTCTATGCTTCTTCCCCAACACTCACTTAAAGAAGTCGCTCAGTTAAATCCTTTGAAAGGAAATACAAGTATCTGGTTATGACAAAAATTGAAACTTGATATATGCAACTTGATAAATAGAACAAAAACTATACACACTGACTGTGCAGTTATTTGCAGAAAGTGGTTGTAGTGTCAGTCTGTCTTGTTTTTCAATGAAGAGTGACTAGATTAAAATAATGTCCATATATTTGGCAAGAGAAAAAAAATTACAATATGTCTAGTTGTTTACCTAACCATAAAAATACTAATCAATGGTTATTGTCACTTTAAAAAATGTAAATTACTAATGCAATTTACAACAAGACATAAACAGCTTCTACAGTTTTTCCCCCTCAACAACTTTATTTGGCCTCATACTACAAATTCTTGTACAAGAAGTTGGAGTGAGGCAAATGGGGAGAAACTGTTCATTTTGAGAACAGTTGATCTGGAGCTAACACTGTGATAGCACTCAACATGTTTCTGATTTTATCCTCCCTGCTGCTGAGTCTCCATCACTAAAAAACGATAAAGATGAAGATGTGGGAGGTGACGGGTTATTCTAACAGACAAAAGTAAGTGGTGTCTCTCATAACAGCAGTTGTTTCTGTTGAAATAATGGCAGTAATGGGTGGAACAGTGTTCTTGCCTATTTCAACATAACTTCTGATTGTGTCATAGCAGAGTGAGTATCAAGCAGCCTCAACCTCTGGATATCCATCACTCTCTCTTTCAGCCCCAGCATGTCTGTCCTCCAAGGTGTCTTCTCTCAGGTCCTCAGCTGGACGGGCCTCTGCCAGGTGCTGTTTGTGGTCAGTACTGGACTAGGAGCTGTGGTTATCGGTTGGACAGTGAGGCTGTTGATGCGACACGCCTGGTACACACACAGGCTGTCCTGCTTCAGCAAGCCACATGCAAACTCCTGGCTTTTAGGCCACCTAGGCCAGGTAGGATACACACACTGACATGCATTTATAGCTTTTTTTTATATATAATAATGATATTCACCTTGTTGTTACCTTTAAGTGTTGTGTCATTATTGTAATGCTTTGGTAAAACTGCAGATTTCTCAGTGTGATACAGGATGTGCTCGGTGTTGTAAAATATTGTTATTACAACATTTCCTTTAAAATGCTGTGTGAGAATTCAGCAAAGTAATGAAGGGTAAACCAACCAAAACCCATTTTACTCACCTTTTAATTAAAAAGATAAAGTTAACCTACTGACATAAGACTCTTTTTTTTTTCAGTTAAACTTAATGTACGCTGTATGTTGTAATGTTTATTTGTGCCTCAGATGCAGAGCACAGAAGAAGGTCTCCTGCAGGTGGATGACTTGGTGAGGACATACGAACACTCTTGCAGCTGGTTCATTGGCCCTTTCTATCATATAGTCAGACTCTTCCACCCTGACTACGTCAAACCTCTATTAATGGCCCCTGGTAGGAAACCAAACAGTCAAAATAATGGGACATTTTTGCACAATTACTGTTCAAGTGGAAGTGTTATTGGAGCTATTAAAACCGCACATCTCAATGCTTATTGTTCTGTTCTCCTTCCATTACATCCTCACTCCTTTCCTCCATCCAGCCAGCATTACAGTGAAAGATGAGCTTATCTACGGTCATCTGCGCCCATGGCTTGGTGAGTCAATAGCTCAGGATGCTCTGATGTAAGTCTAGTTGAAGAGGTTGTTACAGTTCAGCTTTAATTAGCACTGGCATGTGTCAATTCAAAGTCTGTGGTAATCAAGCTGAAAATACTTATCCATTCTTTCCGTTTATGAATATTTATTACAAAGTCCTGTATCGTTAAATAAAACCTTCAATAAAACCTGAACAATATTGTTGTCTAGTTTTTTAAGAATCATAAATAAACAATAATAAATTCAGATTACAGTGATTCCACTTATGGCTATCCGAGTATTGATTACAATTTACTGCCATCCTCACTTCCAAACCTTCTCTCCCCTCATGTCCCAGGACAGAGCCTGCTGCTAAGCAACGGGGAGGAGTGGTCTCGCAAGAGACGGCTGCTGAGTCCTGCTTTTCATTTCGATATTCTGAAGAACTACGTCGCAAAGTTTAACACCTCAACTAACACCATGCATGTAAGACATGCAGAAATGCACACAAGCGGACACAAATAACCAGGGTCATTTATAGATGCTGCAAAAAAAGGGAGAGGGATTTTAATATATGGATATTTTGTTGCATTTACTTTCTGCTGTATGATCAGTATTGATTTCATAAATCAGTGCCAGTGTCAAATGTGCACACAGCCTTTAGTATCTACAATAATAACTGCATGCTTTGGTGGGTTTATCTCTCTTTATCAAAATGTGTTAAAATGAAAGTAACATCACAAAATACAAACTGTTGTGAGGAGCTATAGCTATAGCTTTTAATTCATGCCTGTATTCATTAATTATTTTAATTTATTTAAGCCATTTTTAAACCGATCTGTTTGAGATCAAGATGTGTTTTTGAAGACATGAGCACAAGGATAAAGATATACAGCGATAAACATGAAACACAGAAACCACAAGTGGCATTCAAAATGCTCAAATAGAATTTTAGTTTAGTTAGTTGCAAGGAGCATATATTAAAAAAACAACTTCTCTAAGCTAATTTTGAATATGCAGTACAGCTAAAGTTAAAATGTCCTATTATCTGTTATTATAAACATTTACATTACAAAGCAACTTGCAATTAGTGCATTCAACCATGTGGATATAACCCAAATATTGCAAGAATCATGAAATTACATGAACATCAAATATGTTGAACTGCTTCACGTGCTACATTTAGATGTGATCAGAGAGCCAGGTTCAGACTCAATGGCAGATTGAACAAAAGAAATTACTATCAGAAGAAAAACATGATTTGTTGCTGTACAGAAATCCAAAGCTGATACCTGTCCTGCATCTGTCACCTGGATCTTCTGTCTTTCAGAATAAGTGGCGCAACCTGTTGGCAGGAGGCAGGGCTAACATAGAGATGTTTGACCATGTCACCCTGATGACATTGGACAGTTTACTGAAATGTGCCTTCAGCTACAACAGCAACTGTCAGCAGTAAGGACAACTACTTGACCATTTTACAAAAACATATTCTACTCCTGTTGTACTTCGAGTTTATTTTTTGATTTTTTATGTTCTTCTTTCTCCAGGTCTATCAGTGAGTATGTGTCGGCCATAGTGGAGTTGAGTGACCTGATCATAGACCGTCGGCAAAAGATTTTACACCACTGGGAATGGATCTACTGGAAAACACAGCAGGGAAAACGATTCAAAAAGGCCTTGAGCATTGTACACAGGTACAGCACATGCACAGTGTTTATTGTAGCAGTGTAACACAAGTAATACAGAAAGCTTGGAGTCTGATTTTTACCGCAAAATCGTGAAAACCAAGTTGTTGCTGTAAAATCATTTATGCATTTCTATTTGCATTACACTCTAATGTGTTATATTATATTGAATCATAATGTACCGAGTGTCTTTGCATATTTACTTATATTGTATTGTATCAGTATTTTAAGTATCTTATTTCACTGCATTATATTGTACTGTGTCATACATATAAATAGTAACCTTATATGTTACATGTATCAGAATACACCATATTGCATTGTGCAGTATCCCATTATAGTAACACATTGGATCTTGTAACATACTATAGTTTAGTTTCATATTCTGTAGTAACACCTTGTGTCTTGTAAAGTATTATAGTAAAAGTGTATGGTGTTATGGTAACTGGCTGGTGTTTGCAGGTTTACCAGGGAAGTGGTTCAGAAGCGGCGTGCCCTGCTCAGCCGACAGAGAGAGACAGAAATAGATTTCACTACAGCGCCGCAGAGAAAGAAAGATTTTGTGGACATCATACTGCTGTCACGGGTAGGACACAAGAAGAAAGTGTTCATCAATGAGAAATAGAGATGGACAGAGATAAAAATGTGAGGTGGAGGGACAGTTTATATTGCTTACGTGTGTGTGTGTGTCGCAGGATGAGGATGGACGAGGACTAACAGATGAGGAAATACAGGCTGAGGCCAACACCTTCATGTTTGCAGGTGAGACACTTTTAGTTTACAGTTAGTTCCTTTAGTCTTAAATGTCCACATGACTCAAAAATAGTTAGAAAATCATGTTTTGACATCCAATAAGATTCGTTGTTCCTTTAAATGTAAACCCACCTACTTTTTCCAAAGGTCATGACACAACAGCCAGTGCTATTTGCTGGACGCTGTATAATTTAGCACGCCACGAACACTATCAGGAGAAATGCAGGCAGGAAGTGATGGATCTGATGCAAGGACGAGATAGACATGAAATAGAGTGGTGAGAAAACACACACACACAAATTGAATCATTGGACAATTGATTTCTCAGTAAAAAAACGCTTTGTAAGAGGTAAAAAATTTGCCCAGACCCAATCTCAAAATTGAAAATCTTTCATGAGAAGGAATTTAAATGTGACGATGCTTGTGTGTGCATTCATGTGTCTTTTTCTGAAGGGAGGATCTGTCCAGCCTTCCCTTCACCACCATGTGCATCAGAGAGTCTCTCCGACTCCACTCTCCTGTGCAGGCTGTAACAAGGAAGTACACCCAGGACATGGCACTGCCAGGGGATTGCACAGTACCACAGGGTGAGAGGGGAAAGACAGTACATCATTTGTTAAGTCTTTTCTGGGATTCCCATCTTCTCAACAAGGAATTGAAACACCTGATCAGCTAGTTGGTCAGGTTGTAATAAAACTTGAAACAGTGACGGTTTCTGTCTGTTATTCTTCCCAAGGTGCCATCTGTTTGGTCAGTATTTATGGAACCCACCACCACCCTGCTGTTTGGACAGACCCACATGTGAGACATGAAATGGAAAAATCATTATTATCACTTTGGCACAACGTTGTTGTGTTTGAACAGTGTGATTTACTCTCTTTTAGGAGTTTCTTCCTCTGCGTTTTGACCCTGCAAACACAGAGGGACGGGCTTCTCATGCCTTCATCCCCTTTTCCTCAGGCCCCAGGTACTGTGTACTCTAGCATTTAAGTGCAATAAGATCTGACACTATTAGTGCGCTGGTAAAGATAAGAACTTATTTGTGTTCACAGGAACTGTATTGGTCAGAAATTCGCCCTGGCAGAGCTTCGAGTTGTCGTGGCGTTGACCCTGCTCAGGTTTCGCCTGACCCCGGGAGTGAACCCTGAACTTGGGACCAGCTCTGAAGGAGTTCGCCGGCTCCCCCAACTAGTCCTGCGTGCAGAGGGAGGTTTGTGGCTGCAGCTGGAGTCTCTGAACCTGCACAACCTGGAGGAGTCGCAGGATGAATAATCCAACAAGATGACATCTGTTTTTATAACAATGAGTTCAGTGGATTTATGTTTACTGTATTTTTTCTAAAATTATTTGTGACCTCTATTTTCTACAAAGCAATTTGTTAGTCTACATGATTATTTTATTATAACTTTAAAAATTGAATGTGATATAAGTGAATGTACTATTGCATAATGTGATATCCATTTTATTGTTGTAACAATAACATTACTCAGCAACTTTTTTACTGAGTTAAGTTTGGTTTAAATAAATCCTGAGGTAGAAAATAAATGTATTCCTCATCCAAACGCTCTGCTGGGAGACAGAGCGACTTTTGAGGTTACAACACAGGTTGTAAAAACATGATTATCTGCATGCCCGAGACTAGACTAGGGCCTGAATTATTGAAGACAGGTCAAGCTAGGGCCACATTTTCAGGCCACAGTCTTACACTTAATGTAAAATAAATAAAAGGAATTACCATATTAGCTAGGGGTCTGAGACACGTGATTTAAGGACTCTTAATGAAAATATTTGTGAGAAATGCATTATAAGTTGCTGATTTTTAGGATTTCACTGTATTTAACTTGTGAGAAATTAACATTGGTCACAGGGTTTTTATTCCTAAGCAAAAGGTTGTCTGATTTACAATAAACATCTGCTGGCATGTAGGTGAGAGTTTTAACATAGACCAATCAAGAGACAGAGAAACATCTGATGCCACATACATTTGCATTTCCTTTCTTAGCTCAGGAAGAGTTTTTGAGTGTATGCTAATACTCTGCCATTTGTTCATCCTTCATCTACCATTTGCTGGCTGTTGTTTGCTTTGTACTTGTTCTGTACTTAAGGAGAGGAAATGCTGAGTTCGAGAGAGTAACCCTGCGTTCTCTTCATGGCCATGTTACATAAAGAAATGATTCAACACATCTATTTGACTCTGTATTCTTTGGGAAGGAATTATTTTTCCCTGACAGGACAAATGCTGTTCTTCATATTACACTGGGATGTCAATACAATGAATAGTTTAGCGTATAAAGGCGTCTTGATGTAATTTCTAAAGGGCTATATGATAACAAAATTGAGCGTATTGATTATTCTAGTGGCAGTAACAAACTTTTGACACCGTAGAAGTGCCATTTATTATTATTATTATCATCGATATTATTTAAGATCCACGTTTCCAGATCTACATCAGTGATTGGGTAATGCCGCGTTCGACCCGGTCGGAATTCGGATATTTCCCAGTTAAAAACTTTCGACTTCCGACCTCAATGCGTTCCAGGTGCATGGTGGTGCATGAGGCCAAAAGTGAATGAAAACCAGGGCTGACCGTGACAAAGTGTACACACACTTGTACGCTCAGCAGTGTTTTAGGTGTTAATTAAAAGGATGGCAGTTTTAATGCAAACAACTGACATAAATAGCCTTTAGCCTACTTTACTAGTTCTGTGTACCCCTACATCAGTTGGTAGTCCTCAAGTCAGTCAATGATGTAGGTTATACTTCCTAATGTTTTGGCATTTTTAACAATAACTTTTATGCAGAGAAGATGACTTTATGAGATTCTTTACTGTAGCCAGCTACCTAATAGCCCTAACATATTTCTACATCAATGTACATCCAGAACAGGTTTTACTATAGGGGAGACCGGTGGCAATTTTAACAATTTTTGGTTTCTTCTTATAACTCAAAAACTCAGGAAATCAGGAAAAAAAACTATATATTTTTATGTTCTTTCTAAGCCGGACACTATTTTAATTGGTTTCTGGGGCAATTGTAACACAGTGTTACCGACGAGAAAAAATATGTACCACGACTTCACGAGTAGCAGCTGAATTACGTCACAAAACAATGTCAGCGCCCGTGAATGCACACATTGTAAATGGTAAACCATAAACTAAAAAGCAACAACAAGTATATTTGCATGTATTTAAATTAAAATAATACATACGGTCATAGAGTCAAACCTGTTCTGCATGTACATTGATGTAGAAATATGTTAGGGCTATTAGGTAGCTGGCTACAGTAAAGAATCTCATAAAGTCATCTTCTCTGCATAAAAGTTATTGTTAAAAATGCCAAAACATTAAGAAGTGTAACCTGCAACATTGACTGACTTGAGGATTACCAACTGATGTAGCTAGAGGGGTACACAAAACTACTAACGTATAGGCTATTTAAGTCAGTTTTTCGCATTAAAACTGCCATCATTTTAATTAACAACTAAAACACTGCTGAGGGTGCAACTGTGTGTACACTTTGTCACGGTCAGCCATGGTTTTCGTTCACTTTTGGCCTCATGCACCACCATGCACCTGGAACGCATTGAGGTCGGAAGTCGGAAGTTTCAACTGGGAAACATCCCAGTGCCGACCGGGCTCGAACGCGGCATTAGTATATCGAAATACAATGCGTGATGACGTCGCGGTGGAGGCTGAGACACGGTGAGCGTGTTGACGTCATATCGCTTAAACTTTCACTTTCAGCTCTTTCCAACTGTGACCTAATTTTTTAAGCCAGACACTACATACCCTGTTTTTTTAAAAACAACATTACTTGACACGTTTCTCTCGGGTCACAACAGAAGCAGCTTGGATGTCCTCTCGTTTCTGACAGTTTAACCGACGAACAGGAAGATGTGGCCGCCTGTAGCGTCCATGATGCTGCTCGGGTGGTTGTGTTGTGTTTGTCTGGCCGCTGTGTCCGCAGACTCCGGTAAGTTTGTTTCTCCTAGTGTACTTTTAGCTGATGTTTGTAGGCGTTGGAAAGTATGTGTTTGTAGATTAAATGAGTGTAAATCATAGACTGTGACGCAGTATTGAGGTTGTTGTCCGTATGCATGGCCCCACCCAGTGTGAACAAGCATGTAGATAAAACAAACTTCGTCTGTCTCGGTATACTGTTGTAACTCTAGCCAAACAGGCAGTAATATAATGGCATTTAGTAAAATATTAGAATGGAAATTGAATAGAATATTTTGGCGCAGTGCCAAATCATTGCAGCTAAATTCACCAACAACTAGTGGAAACTCAAACGAGACTAATTAACTGAAGGATATAAAATTTGTAGTACAGAATATAACCGGAATAAAAAAGAATACCATAAGATAGAGTAGAATATAATGGAGGATGACATAGCACGGTGGAACCGTATTTAAATGTGTAAAATAGAGAAAGGAGTGCACCAACAGTTAGGAATAGAGCAGAAGAGAGGATAACCCAGCGGAGTGGGACTCAGTTGAACTATATAGAATAGCAAAGAGTTGTACAACATAGAACAGTTAGTAATATTGTAAAATTCTGTAGAGTAGAAGAGAATAAGAGGGAGTGTAATATAGTCCAGGGGAACACAACGGAAATATAGCCTAAGAGAGTATAATAAAGCAGGATGGAACATAATGGAAATGTGTAGAATAGAAAAACCACTGACAATAAGAGAATAGAAAACAGAACAGAAAAGTAAGAATAAACCAAGCAAAGAGAACACGGAGGACGAACATTGCAATAGAGGGGAGCAGGAATGAAACAAGTAAATGAGCATACAGAACCCTGTCACTAAAAACAATTTAAACATGTGAATTAGTTTAGTGTTGAGAGACCAGATTATCTTGTCCTTGCACTGATGAAAGCTGCTACCTGTCAAAGATGTACCTCCATCCTGATGTCAATGGTGCAAGTTTATTTATACCTATATCTAAAGCAATCCCATACAACAGTCCTGCAGTAAATTCTCCCTTCACGACGGTTATAATGTCATTTTAGAGCGTGTTGATTCACCATATGGTCATTTTGGAGGCTGCAGCTTGTGGCACTGTTTGATTGTATCGCACTACTGATCAGTGTTTCTATTATATTTGTCCACCCCATTTATATCAACAAGAGTAGACTTCTCAACAGAAACAGCTTAATCTTCATTGCCCCTAATTTAACTAGAGTCCAGTGAATAAAAAGCCAATTTAAAGCATGTATAGGCATGAAAATTGGCACACTGAGCTTTTTTGTGTCCTTGCAGAGCCTAAACTCTACATGAAGGTGGGAGATGAAGTTGTCCTCAAACCGGATGATGCCTCTGTGCCTGGCACCATCGAGAGCATACTGTGGAAACACGGTGGTAACATTGCCGCTGAGTTGGATGATACAGGCGTTGAACTTTTTCGTCAGTTCAAAGGTATACAAGTTTAGCTCACATCTTTCTGTAGGATCAAATATAAACTGGCTTTCTTTTGTATAGATTAGTGCTAAATGGTGCAGTGGTGACATTTAAATTATTTGTGAGTTCTAGACTTGTCGGGAAGCTAACCCTATCCATGTTGGTTTAAAGATCGTGTTAGACTGAACATTTCAACTGGAGAGATGACAATCACTGGACTGACTGGAAATGACAGTGGAGTTTACACAGCAGAAATCAATAACATTCTGATATCCAGGAAAACTCATCTCATCGTCCTCTGTAAGTGGCTAAATGACACACAAGTTAATCAGGTTTGTAAAGTTGGCAATGTGGTGGTTGTGTTTCCCTGGTTGTTACTTTGTGTTAGAGGAGAAAAACTAGGAAAATGAAAATGCAACAGGGTTATCATGACTGAAATGGCCTATTCAATTTTTTCCCGCAATAACAACAGCTCCCGTCCCTGTACCTACTGTTAATATATCCTGTGATGATAAGAAGACCAGCTGTATTTTGTCCTGTGATGGAAACACCACAGGCGCTGGAGAAATCAACTACACGTGGAAGTCAGATGGCAAAGAGTCAGCTTCATCCAAGAACAAAAACATTACAAAGGTATTGAATACTGTAATGCAATGTGCTTTTCTCAACAATATATGCATTCCTTGTTGCTTTCACATGGAAATGAAACTGAGCTGATCAGGTAGCTTTACATGGCAATTTTAAGACGTTGAATATGATAATTATTGAATGTTACAAATGTCATGAACAGGTGGCAAATCATCAGGCTGGTTTCAATTTATGACAAGTTTGTAGAATTCATACTCATTTTATGATGAAGAATACAAAAATGTTCTTCTTGAGGTCCATAAAACATTTGAGAAGCAATGTAAGTAATTTGGGAAGGTTTACTATAGTGATGTGCGATACCACTTACTCACTTACCTATACGATCCAATACCAAGTAATACCCAGGCTGGTATTGCAGATACCAATACCAATACTTTTTACATATTTTATTTCTAGTTTAATGTGACCTCCCTCTCCCGTTTTTGTATGATATAAGGAGTAGGCTGTGGCCTTACCTATTCAAAATAATAGCTGCATAATGACAAGACATCAAACTACTGTCATATTCTTTAATCATAATGAAAATCTCCTGCTCAGAACTGCCGCTTTATAACATTATCATATTATTTTGACTTAATCTCAGATGTTTAGCGAAGTTTGCAGTGTTGCCAAAGTATTTCACTGTTTTTGCAACACATCACACAGTGCAACATTATTACCTTCACAGCTAAAATACAGCCAGACGTGACTGTTTTTACAGTCAGCCAGAGTCAGTATTCAATCGCGGGAAATGTAAAGGGCTGCAGCGGCTCACTTCAAAGACTCTCCGTCACAGAACCGTAGCACAAGCATGACTTTGACAGGCGGAAGGAAAAGTAGTTCCTATCAACCAAGTAGTTAGACCATCCTGGTGACAGTAAGATACTTATGATAAAACACACACTCACTCCAAATTACTGAGTTTTGATATCGATCCTTTTATATGAGTATCGATCCTAGAGCAGGAAACGCTGCTATCAGAAATATCGATACTTTAGGATCGATCCGCACATCACTAGTTTACAACAAACATGGATATTTAAGGAGCACCAAGTACGCAGTTCAACAAATAAATGTGTATACATGTTTGGTATTGCTTCACTCCTAGGACAGTTCAAGTATAAAGGAGTTCAGCTGTAAGCTGGAGAATCGCGTCAGTCAGGAGAGCAGCCAGCCCGTCACCAACCCTTTGTTTACAAGTGAGTTATTACACTTAAACCTTTATGTTAAATTCTTGTGTCATTGAAAATCCTCTGGTGTGTAACGCACTGTAAAGCCCACTCATTGCTGCTGTTGTCATCTTACAGGTCGAAATAACCGTTCAGAACAAGGAGGAGGTCTGAAAATTTCCACAGGAGTCACAGTATTCATCTCTTTGCTGGCAGCTCTACTGATGCTGGTTTTCATTCACAGGTGTAAAGCAGGTGAGACATCATGATACTCTATGTACTTGTTTCATTTGCATTAAATCAATATAAGCAATTAAAGATGAAGCAGTTGTTTCATATAATTCATGTTTATATTAAGTCTTATAATGATAAGTGTGGTGTCACATTTTAATGATTCTGTTCAATTCCTTCAGGAATGTGGTTCTTCCAAAAAGGTAAGAAGTATTTTTTAAAGTAATAAAAGTCTTAAACCAAATACCTTTTTAAAGAAAGAAAGAGGAGTAAAAGTCCCTAAAGAATCCTTTTTAAAATAGATGTTAAGTGTTAAGTTAAGTGTCAGACTCGAGGGTTCCCCTGTAGAGCTGAAACATAAATACAAAAATACATCACAGGGGTCTTTAAAAAAAGGAAATGATTCAGGCTTCGTAGTGTTTTGCTGGAGTTTGCAAGTTTGTGCCCATTCACCAGGGGCGGTTTGAAAGGCATTCTGGGAAATGCAGGATACTACAGCATGGAGTACAGTAGAGCTTGGCATTACAGTTGTGGAACATTTCACAGCACAAGAGATTTGCAACATTTTACAGTGTGAAAGCATCTTAAGGTGGAACTGAAATAAAGGTACTTTGGTCAATTCAGCGGACATGTAGACAGGACAGTGTAGGTGTGTGCGGGGAAAAGAGAACTGAAGTGAAAGGGAGCAGGTAAGCAGAAGAAGGCTAGTAAGTAAACACTACAGTAAAATAAAGTGGAATGAAGTAAAATTAAAATGGTTAAACACATAAAAAACCTAAGCTACTAGAAATAGAATTTAATAAAGGTTCTTATTTCCTTGGAGGGTCAGCTTTACACCATTTATTGTTGTAGTGTTTTTGTTGGCTACAAGCTAAATTGTTGTAAATGAAATGTGTTGTGCACATTCATGCACACAAGGAAGAGCACTGTTGATTTCTGTAACCTTTCTTGTAGCATAGCCATTAGGCCAAACTATAATATATACAGGAAGTATATTGCCAGACTCATCAGTCTGAAATACTGAAAACATCAAGAAACGCTGAGTTCACAGAATCATTCTGCCTTCTAGTCAGCGCATTGTTTACAGTGAAAGTAAAATTAACTGAGGAGATTACTGGGTGTTGGTTAAGTTATTGTTTCTATTAAGCACACAGTGATAAACACTTTAACATAATCTCTGCTGTGATTCTCTCCCTGCAGATGCGATGCCATGGGAAGCAGGTCAGTGACTAAAATTACTTAAACTGTCCTATTAATGCCCTTAAAGTCAAACAGCCCAGCCTTTTACAGATGTCTATCAGACTTCTTCTGTGCTGTATTTTCTGTTGATGCTACTCTCCTGTTTTGCACCACTACAGACTTCTGGAGGAAGAATGAGTGCCAACGTAAGTTTCCCGCAGTCTGTTTTCTATGTTTTATTCTCACCTTTCATTATGATGAAAGTTGATATCTTTATGTCCGTATAGATACTGATTCTAATGGCACCACTCGTTGTTCGGAGAAGGAACTAACAGAAGGTAAGATACTACTGAAAAAAATCACTTGGTGAAATAATTTCACTGTTTGAAAAGGTTTTGAAGGTTAATGCGGTGTTTATCCTTCAAACTGTACAGTTTTTAAATTACATTCATTGCTTTCCATTCAGGAGTGTTACCATTTTAGCAGCATGTGACTCTTTTTTTTTTTTTTTTTTACATTTTGTCATTTGGCAGAGGAAACACCAATGACATAGCAAGCAACAACACCAAAAAACGGCAAGTCCAGACCCGACATGTGTAAAACAAGACCAAGAAGATCCAGAGTGAAGCTAAAATGTTTCACAAAATCTTCAAAGTCCACAAAGTCTTTACACTACACATATTACTGAGAATCCATTAACAGCAGTGTCCGCTCTAATACTTCAAATTTAAAATTAATAATACGGCAAAAAGGGAGAGTGAAATCATCCTAAAGCAACTTTAAAACAAATAGTTTATAAAAAATTTTTATGGCGTTTGAAGCCACAAAACTATCAAGACACTTTTAACATTTTAAATACACTAAGAACGGAAATATTGTAGTTATTTAGAATGACAAAATGGCCCACAATATAATAAAAGCACTGATAAAGAGAAAAGCTTGAGACAGAGCTCATATCGTCCTGAGGTTGGTTTCCAGATTTTCCACAGTTACTGATGGGCCTCAACGTTTAGACATTTAGACGTTTAGAGTACCTTTTCCTGTGATTGCAAGCCTACCTGACACCAACTGTTACCTCGAGCTCAATAAACTTCCCCCTCCGCCTGAGGATGATTTGTGATTTGAGGCTGGTCTGCCACCTCACAGTGTTGGAGAAGAGCTTAAACTGTGCAGGTAGGAAGTGGATTGTTACCAGGGCAGGAAAAATGGACGTGATTGTCTGGTTTGAGCTGCTGCCCCAACCAAAAAAGAAGCAACAACTACTCTCTGTGCGCGCGTGTGCGCTAAATAATGGGAGCTGGCAAGATCGAATAAAGTCAATCATGTCATGTTATTTTTACTTTGTTGTTTTATGAATGTATAGTATTTGTGAAACTCTTTAACATACAAAGCAGATCTACCTAACTGAAAGCATAAGTCAACAATGCGTTTTGGCACCAACATCTTTGAACTATAAAACTTGACACTTCCCCCCCCCCCCTCAACAAAAAGAACTGACTTATTCACTGTTAGCTTTGTATTGTTGTGTATGAGGATGTAAAGAATGTAGATTAGTGTTTTTATATGGGTTTTATTTAATAAAACCAACTGAATATCAACTCTTTTTGTGTTTTAAATGTACTATCATGTCATTCAAGCAGTAAAATAAAGGAATAAATGAGATTTCTGTAGTCCAAAGTTGAACCACTTGAGGGCAGTCACTGATAACAGGTTCAGTGTACTGGACATTAATTTGCGGTCCTAAAACTGCATAAAGGAAAAAAGCAGCTGCAGCCTTTCAGATGAGCAGTGATGATGTCTCTGACTAATGTTTTTAGCATTTTGTCTGTGTAATAACTACCAGATTTAGTCTTTAAAAGATTAGTCATGTTTTGTATATCAAAGAATTTTAAATTTACATGTCATTAATACACGATCATAAATTAGCTTATAGCTGCAGATTAAATAGTGTATTTTAGTGAAACCAGGCAGTTAGAGTTCACAGCAGTATACAACAAGAGGCTACATGATTTCAAACTGGTCTTAGAAAAACTTGCACAAGAGTGTGCTTGTGCAAGTTTTTCTCACTTTCTTCAAGGTCTTGGCTGGTAAAAGCAGAGACATAGCAACCTTTGCATCAACTAGCAGAAAAATATCCCTTAAAGAAGCTGCGGTCATTAACTCATTAATCACTTAAGTGCCATGCTCTTTTGCAAGTTTAGAGTTTGAGCTGCTTAAATGTACTTTAAAATAAGGAGTGGGGTACAAATCAAATGCTGTTTTACCCTTCAAGTGTAACGGGTTTTAAGGTATGAAAACGAGTTCTCTTACCAATTGAATTTTATAATGTTAATTGTAATGTTGCAATCTTTGAAAGAAAGTACAGGCAGCCAGTGTTGCATTTGACAAACAAAGGTTCACATGTAATTGGTAAACTAAATGTGTTAAACCTCAGCAAAATGGAGTCTGGGGTTCATCACGTCAGCTTGCTCAGCTGTAGAAACAGTTCAGATAAAAAAAAAATGCACCTCCTATCAGGAAGTGTTAGAAAACAAAGGAAAATCAAAGAGCTCTTAGTCTTCATGCTGCGAGCAGCAACCACAGCTGACCAAACTGCTCACATTTACAAACCCATGTCTATAAATCTAGCACCTCAAACACAGTATTACTAACATGTAAAATACCATCATAAATCTAACAATCGCAGACAGGAACATCACAAGACATCTAAATATATAATGGATATATAAAAACGGACATGGCTTCCCGAGAAGACATTGTTGGGCTTTAGAGGGCCACACAAGTCAAACATGTTGGGAACCACATGGAAGTTCAGACAAACTTGTTCTCCACCATTCAGGACTGTCAGAGCAAGTACAGAACTTTAGAAAATAATTAATGAATAACAAAGTGTGGTTTATCCACCAAACGTAATTTATTTGTGAATAGAAAATAAACACCTGATTAAATTCAGCGTTTTATTACAGCATTCAGACAGGTTCACAGTTACGTCATTTCTCAGCAGTTATTTCAATTATTTTTTTTATCCATACATTCTCGATTTAAGTACAATCCAACTCAAAACTCAGTTCCTAGTGTTGTGTCTATTATAATAAAGGGCCACACCTGCTGTGTGAACAAGTGGACATTTTTAAAATCTACTAGGATGTTTGCACTGTAGTTCCTGATGCAACATGTAACACTGTGTCCCTATTTTAATCTTTTAATCAAAGTAAAAACAGCCATTCTAGGGCGGAAAATAAAGACAAAGACAGGTTTTTAGGAATTGCAGCCCTTTTTGGTGGTTGGTTGTTTGCCAAAATGGCCGTCAGACAAACTCACAGGCAGGATTGGCAGTAAGACATTGACTGACTAGAGATTTGTTTTCCACCCTGCTAGACACCTTCCCCCAACATGCTGCTGAAAATTAACACTTAATAGAAATATCACATTTTTAAATAACCAAATTCAGTAATGTGCATTTACACTAATTGTCAAAAAAGCAGCAAATATCTGTGTACAAATGTCAAATACTTTCACACGATTTTTGCTAAGCAGCATATTCTGTAGCCTGTTTCAACGTATCAAATGCAATAATTTCAAAATATACTGATGCTGCTGCTTCTACCTGCCAGCAACAATAAACTCATTAAAATGTAATCACATTATATAACACTGCATAAAATCTGCAGTTTATTGTTACAGAGGCTGGAGAAGAAGATATCCTTCCTAATCTGGTTTTAAAAGAAGAATGTCATTATCAGCACAAACAGGAAGAAGATTTTACTGTTAATTATACTGATATGGTCAATTAACATGTAATCAAAGACCTGTAACATTAGGTACAATAAGAGTGTCAGTGATAAAAAAATTAAATGTGAAAACACCAACTGTTTTAAAAAGTAATATTTAGTGATCACATAGTAATCATGAGCCTTTGTTTGGAGGGCAAATCACTGTCACTGAAACAGGACAGTTTAGCACATTGCAGAAGTGCAAATTCTCCTAGTTTGTTTCCTCTGTACAAAACACACACAAAAAAAGCTCAATTCTGGCCATTACATGAATGGCCCCTCTCTGTTAAAGATAATTTGCCCAATATGAAATCATAGTACCACTTAGTGCTACTATTAAATAAAAAAAAACCTTTACAGCAAATCACATCTGATTATCAACAAACAAATACGAAACCCTCCTGAGACGTCAGACACGAGACACCTGCAGCCTGTCTGGCTGGTGCAGTGCAGGAGCTTTAGGTAGCAGATGAGGCACTTCTATGATTAAGACTCAGCAGCTAACACTGAACAAACCGCTCTGTCAACATCAGAGGGTTAAAATGAGTGATCCCACGAAGTCTAAAGAGCTGATTTGCAAAATAACTAGGATCTAGATAAGAGGTTGTTGGAAAACAGTTTAAGGTTGGTCTTGGGCACTTTTGCCGTTAGACAAAGGCTCTGCCTCTGAATTTGCAGCCACAGGACTGAGCTCTGTGGGCGGTGTCTGTTCAGTCCCGCCTTCTCCCCTGGCCTGGTTCCTATAGTGACGGATGATGACCACAGCAGCGCAGACGAAGTAGACAACAGTAAGAATGGTGAGGTAAATGAAGTACACCAGGAACTGTAAGAAAATAATAGACATCTTGAGATCTGATCAGCAGGTCAGTGTGCAGCTGACAAAAGTTCTACTTTGCTGACATGTCATTAATGTATTTTTTTTTTTTTTTAAATTGTCAAAGGTTTGTTTAAATTTACTTTAACAAGTTATTTTAAACAAGAGGCCGACATTCTGTATCTCTACACCTACTCGAATGTTCGTCTTTCCCCTTTTTTTTCTCTTAAAAAAAGGAATAACAGCACTGAAGCTGTCTTGTTGCATGTCCTGCAAATTAAATTTAATGATTCATTGAACAATAAATTACCTGGAACAACATTTGTCAAGGTTACATCCAACTGAACTCTAGCCAACTTGAAATGTTACTTTGGTTAGCTAAACAGGAAGTGTCACTGCCATTACTATTTCTTGAACTAGATTCACTAACAAAGCAGTTGGCCAACCTTTTGTCATGCCCCACTTCCAAAGCACCGCCACCAACACACTACACGTAAATTAAAGTACTTTAATTATTAATTAATAGGTAACAATACTGGGGAAACTAGTAACAAATTGAGCCCATTTTATGAATAATATTAAAAATGATATTAAAAACTCACTCATTTCTCTCCTTCTCTGCTATACTGACAGTGAACTTAACAGAAAGATTTGCTTCTTCATATTTTGGATATAAATGATGCGTTTGCTTGTTGAGCGACAACTTTTTCTTCCCGTACAAAAGTCTGTCCATCTTGTTCTTAACATGCTGTTTTGTTTTGTGAATAAATCTTGAAAGCACTAATAGCATTAGAGTACTCGTTTCTTTACTGTCTCCTGAAAAACCAAACCTTTTTCACAGCAGATCCTTTGGTTTGTCAGAGCAGGAGAGCCACAGGTGGAACTAATCACATTACTAATCACACATAATGATGGCTCTATTCCAGTAATTACTGCAAGGCAACACAGCAAATTACACCTGTTTGACAAGTCAGAAAGCCAGCTGAAAATATGGTCTATTCAACTTTCATTTCACTCCATATTTTCTTTATGTGAAGTGTTTTGAAAATTAGTCTGTGTATTAAGTTCATATTTCATCCCCCAAAGTGTACTGACACAATGGTTGCATGAAATACATCCAGGTGAAAACACAGCCAAAGCTCCCTGAGCCAAGTTGCCATCATCATATGTACGGTATTAAATATTTTACCTGAGAGTGCACGTCCAACCCCAGGCCTCTCTTGTCAGAAAATATCAGGCTGATGATGGTCGTCAGAATGGTCCCCAAGAAGGTGTTGATGCCAAACACTAAGGCGCAGAGCTCCTTGGTGAGTGAGGAGGCTATCTGGAAACTACGGAGAGATGATAAGATCGCCACAGACCAGACGGATGAGTCCAACGCTTCAACTTTAAAATGTATCTGTTGCAGTACCACAGTCTCACTCAGCTGTTAGTAAATGAATGCATAAACATGTTAATGCTACAGTACTGTTAGTTCATAACGCAAGTGTCAGCTTAGGAGGTATTCAGCGGAATATCTGGTTTCCATTTGTATGACATAGCAATTTTGCTGTTTTAATTTTTCTATGTTAAAAAATAAACATAAAAGGCCAAACTTTCCATTGTGAAATGAGGATTTTAATGAACCTATGACCTTTGCGCTATTTGCAAATGTAACGTCCTGCTGCACCACCATTTCCACTCAGAATTAGGATTTTGAACAGTACATTTTGTAGTTTCATATTTAGACAGTAAACAGTTTTACTGCACTCACGTGGCGATAGGCACCAGAAACTGGTAGAAACCTCGGAAGAGGATGTAGGCGACGTAGCAGACCCAAATGTTGTCTGTGCTGCCCATGAGGAGCAGCAGACCTGCCTGCAATGCTGTGATGACCCCGATGACCAGCTCAGACCAGAGGTTCCACCGGATTTTCACAAAGCCTGCTGCGAAGGATATTATTGCACCTGCCGAGAAAATGCACATCAATAAAATCTCCATTCATCCGAGTAACTTTACATATTGTGTAAACCCGGCACTTTATCACTACACTGATAAAGAGTATTATCCAGGGTTGTATTTTTTTATTTTTAATCTTTTAATATTTGTGACTCTTTCTCAGTGGAAATGTAACTTGGCCATACAATCTCTACTTTTAGAGATAGTTTCTACAAGTCAATTCAACACAAGTTAATGTGTTCTCTTGTCATCAATACATTACTAAGTAAATGCCACCTGGGACAAAGTTTTGTCTGTTCATTAACATACCATGAGATTTAGTTACTCAACATAAATATATCTGCTTGACACGATGTCCAGGTTATTTAAACAAACTGTTTAAAGGGTGATTACTGATGTCTAAACCGTAAAAGGAAAAAGGTATTAGGAAAGTATTATCTCTCTTCAGTTTATCATTGTTCTTTGACGGGTTGTATTTATATCAGAACTAATTAAATTGGTGTTCTGAACAGCAACTTTGTACAGGAAATTAATGAAATAACAGCAAGCTGGAGTCGCATGCCGATGTGAATAAAAACTGTGGAGGACTGTGAAAATGAAAACCTACTGCTCTAAGAGCACTGAGCATATTTCAGAAATCCAGCACTATTCCTTTAAAAACAAAGATTTGCAGCTCTAGAAATGTCTCACTCAGCAGGGTAGCAGCTGCCTCCACTCCCCCGTTGTAAACGTTCTTGTTCTCGGTAGCCTGGTAGACTTTGTTCCACAGGATGTGAACGTAGAACAGCACCAGGTAGTACCCTGTGGAGTTGAATATCCACCACAGGGACCAGAGTCTCAGGTTAGGCATCTTCACCACATTTCTCACCTCAAGCAGCATCTGCACCAAGGCAAAATCTCTCCAGCGTGACGCAGAGCACGGGGGGGCTGCCGAGGACAAACCGCTCTCTTTTGGGTTCATTTGGTCAAGTTCTGATTTGGTGGCTGCCGCTGCCATTTCCCTTTGCTCCTGGTCCCGCATCCGGTTGAAAAACAGGGAGCGTTTAGGCCAGGGCAGACACAGTGATAGCAGCAGACCGAAGCTGACAAAACCCAAAGATATAATGTTGAGAGTGTAGAAGCTGATGTTGCCCAAGGACATGCACAGCTGGCCCAGCACTGAGCTTGTGAACACCCCCAACAGGACAGAGGAGCGTGAGTATCCGGCCACACGCTGGTAGAGGACTGGACTGACCAGGGAGAAGATGTACGAGGAGTAGGCCACGCGGCAAGCCATGGTGATGCCGTAGCAAAACTCCATGGACTGCATCGCGAGGAGGGTGTTGCCCAGGAGCAGAATGACCCAGATGACCACCTGGCTGATGCCCTGGATGATCAGGACCGGCTTGTAGCGCATGAGATCTGTCAGCAGGAAGGCTGGCACCAGCACGACCATGTAGGAGTACGTCATCACAGGTGTGATCTCATTGGTCACCTGGAAACAACAGTAAAGTTAGTCAAATAACATTCCAATCAAGATGAGAAATCAGTGAGGTGGATGAAAGCTCCAGTCTCACAAAATGTGAAATGTACCAACTGTTGCTGCTGGTAGGAAAGTGAGTGTCCCAAACAGGTCTGAGCCATAATTCAATGACAGTTTATCAACTTTTAAGGGACTTTATTGCGATATGACAACATTGAGTCCAAAACAACAATTACTAGCAAATTGTAATTATAACCCGGAGTTGTTTTACACCAGCAAACAAACAATTACACAAAACACTAATGCCCAAAGTGACATCTTCTAACCAACAGTTCAAAACACAAAGATCATATAACAAAGAAAAGCAGCAAATTCTCACATTTGAGAGGCTGAAACCAGTTTCTCCTGAAAAATAATTCCAACAATTAATAGATTACCAAAATAGTTACTTTTCTTTTGATTGACTAACCAATGAATATTTGCAGTTGCTCTAAAAGAGAAACTAATTTTGCATTCACAAGCCTTATATTATCAACATTTACTCAGCCCATAATGCCCAACAGTAGTTACACTTATTGTACAAAATATCAGACAATCTAAAGGAATATCAATGAGGACTACCTAATGGAAATGAATATATTCCTTGTTATAATGTATGTAAATGAATACTTAAAAGGACACAAAAAGTAGTAAGCAGGTGATAGCTAATGCTTAATAACAGGTAACATAAGACACGGTGCTGTGAAAGTCTTATGGTAGAGACAACATTCTTCAGTAGATGTCTTCTCTCTCCTAATTCCTCAATAACCAGGGCAGTGTTATCAATAAATAAATATCATGATAACCACTAGATCTTAGATATCAATATACATATCACAATATAAGGCTGGGCAACATGACTAAAATAAATATTACTACAAATCCTTCTGATGCATTTATATCTTGATTTGGCATGTGTGTAAAATCAGTCAAACGAAATTAAAAGCTGAATTGATTTTATTAGTCAATTGAGAAATATAACTGTTTTGCTAATCAATTGCTGTTTTTCCCAAATGTGAAGACTTCCTGATTTGATATTACTGTAAATTCAATATTTGGAGGCTTTTGGGTGTGTCAAACAAAACACGACATCTAAAGACTTGACCTTGGACTCTGGGGAGTCTCTGGATATTTGTCACCATTTTATAGATTGAACAAGTAACCAATTCATCAGGAATAAAATTACCTGCAGGTTAATGGCCTAATGACAAACCTTTTACACAAAGTTTGCTTTGTATTTATTTGGACAACCACATTGGTAGATAATTATAAGATAATATCATATAGTCACACTATACTTTCACAAAACAATAACATATGATAGTGAAACTGGTTAAACTGGAACAAGCACAAACTCTCTGGCACACTGTCGGACTTTAGCATCAACAGTTGGCAGAGAACAGACCACGAGGGATAACATATTCAATGGCAGCTTATTCTTAGGAACCTGATTAAATACAGGAGTGTTGGGATATGGTGAAATGTGAGTTCAATTCAATAAATCTGTCTACAAGTGGTGGCTAAGCTGCAGAACTGCCATTCTGGTCTAACAAGGAGTATTTTTCAACACACGGTCAACCCAAGCTATTTTGATAGACAAATACAAACATTTTCTCCTCTCTGAAAGACACATTGAAAGGCACTCAACTCCTGGCTTCAGCCCACGGATGATTTCGTGGCCATTCTTCGATCGTAAACCTTCATAAACACATTACACTGACCCACTTTGAGGAATGTGAACTTTGAGCACAGTAAGGCAGATCAGCAAACTCCCCACAGGGCACTCATTTATTCTACTGTGTAATGAGTGTTTGACTGCATGGAGTAAAAAAACAAAGTCTACAGGTTAACTTTTATTCTATACTTTCTGGACAGCCTCCTGGATATGAGCCTGAAGTGCAACTCTGCACTACAAGGCACAACAACTACGCATGGAATCAGTCAATAATAGGATATTTTGTTTTCCTTCACACAAAGACAAATATACATGTATGAAAAACCAACACATTTGAAAGGACGCCGCTAACCTGTTCCCTGGTGAAGTTCTTCTCAGGGCTGAGTAGATATGGTGTAATGAAGGGCTCCCCGGGCTTTATCGATGCCATAAACCCATAGAGACACAAGATCATCACGGCCCACTTCCACTTTCTGGCCTCCACAGCTTCCCCCGGGGGACCTTCTGATGGAAACGGGGCCTCAGAAGCGGAGACAGCCATGCCTGCGCCTCCGTCTTCATGTCCCCCGCCATATTCAGACACAGGCCCCTTTAGGTCCATCTCTTTCTCCCCCTCTGATCCGTCCCCACTTCCTGCTGTGTCATCTACCACCATTGTGTCAGCTGGTTTGCAGGACCACTCTGTGATGCAGCACTTAACTTTTTGTTTGTTTGTTTTTGCTGTCTCAAATCACCATGTGAGGATTTGTTTTGAAGTAGAAAGCTACCGACTGGAGCAAACAAACAAAAAACTTCAATCAAACTGGTGAGAATGAACCATGTAACGGGACCATGACAGTTGAAATGCTACATGCTGCTGTTAGCATGTAAGAGAAAATGTTGACCTTTGCTCCACACTGTGACATATTTCAACAGAAAGCTATCCAGCAGCCGGGTCTGGTGTCATTGTTAACCTGAAAATACAACAATGTCTGTCAGTCAGAGTATTTTGACAATGTGCAGGCAGCTGACATTAAAGCCTGGCTGTGATTTTTACTTTGGAAGCTGCTTTAACCCAAATGTGGCAACAATTAACAGTTATTATCATTATTGATAAATCTGATTCTCATTTTACTAATTAATCTGTTGTTTGGTAAACAAAATATATGAAAAAAATTGTGAAAAATGGTTTCCAGAGCCCAAGCTGATTGCGTCAAATAGCTTGTTTTGTCTGACCAGTAGTCCCAAACTCTAAAATCTTCAAGTTACAATCATAGGAGCATGAAAACCAGCACATCAGGACTTCTCAATTATGTTTTCAGTCACACTGTAAATCATAAATTGTTCATATATTCTGTCCACGTTGTGGTACTTTCTCATGTTTGATATAACAAAAAAAGTTCAAGCCCAATAAACACACAGTGTGCTCCAGAAGAATGGCCTGTGTGGATTTTAAGGTGTAAGTTAACTTAAAGCAAACAAGTTACAGAAGCCATTCAGTGGGTTGGCAAGCCAGGGGAAAAGAAAGCTTAGCTGACGTTACGTTAGCAGCTAATGTGCTAACCCTGGCTGTGGTTGGGTTGGGTTGTTTGTGCATGACAACGACCCAAGCAAGTGTGAAATTACCTAATCGCACAGTTTATGATACAGGTGAGAAGTTGTAGCTAGCTAACGTTAGCAGGCAGGCTAACAGTGAATAAGTATAAAAACAATGCACTCTCGCAGCTTTTGTTGGCACAAATAAACATAACGTTACTTTTTATAGCAAGTAACTGACAGCACGTTCACACAGCAACAAGCCATCTTCCATTTAAGAAGGCACAATTTACTCGTTTATAGTTTTAGAGTACACAATATTCACTTAACGTCACCTACCTCATGCAGTCCATCTGAAGCTGCAGCGCTTAATTAGCTGCCCGCTGGTCTTTCATCGCATTGACTTCTGGGAAAGGTAGTTCTACAGACTTCGTACGGGGCCAGTCAAAACGTTAAAACTTTATTTGACAAACACTTGGAACTTAATAAAAACTTAATAAAACAGATATTCTTTTCGGCTTTTTTCAATAACACATATTTACCAAGTCAAAGACAAAAGAGTTCCTGCAATTCACATTTAATTCTTAAATATTGTCTTCTGCAAGTTCTTTGTGGTAAGTCGCGCCATCTGTTGGACAAATAATGTTATAGCTGTTTGTGCAAATACAACTACTGATACAAACATGTATAATTATAATAATGATGTAATAATAATAATAATTGCAATAGCATGATAAGAACATTAATATGCAAAGGTATGTTGTAATAAAAAATTTTAATGCACAGCACAACAATATTACACTGTATACTATAACATCACCTACTGTTATGTAATATTATATGTCCTGAAAACAACTGTATTAAATATATTTTTTTACTAGTTTATTCTGTTGCTGTCATTTGGAAAAGAATGCCATGAAATCAGTTCAACATAATGAATTAATTCATATTTGGACCATTTCCCATAGACCCTCCAGCTGGACCACACTGTGCAATGAAAAAAAATACAATATGTTCAGAAATGTGTGCTACAGTGTTGCTACCTTTATTAGAAGTTGATGACGAAACCACAAGGTACATCAATTGGTAGCTGTTCTGGATCTTTCGATTGCATCACACAATCTTCCTCGGCAGACAGATTTTGGCCAGTTGTCATAAAATTTATTAGATTTCCTGATTTTATTGAAAAAAACGCAGCGGTATACATACTAAAAACTAAAAAACAGATCCACGTTTTTGTCACTGCATAGCTCAGACTTGGTGAAATTAGAGAAAGGAAGTGGATCCATTAGTGGATGTGGACAACAGTAAATTCAATAGATGGCAGCAGTGTACCTCACTAATAGAAAGCAAACAATGAAAGACAATAAATATAGATAAAAAAGGCTAAACACTTCAATAAATCATTTTATGTTTATATCATAATATGAGAGTTTCTTTCTGTCAAAATGAAAACAAGTGGAAACCAAGAGTAATCTTTTTTTCTGATTACTGAAAATGTATGAAGCTATTTAATCTTGTGACATTACTTTAGTCATCTTTCAATCCTCTTAAGCTTCATACATTTTATACTTCAGAAAAGTCCTTTCATTGAGCAATGAAGTCTACACGAAGCCATATATATTATCACTATCACTAATTATTCATTGGCCCCAGAGGATGAATCATACTAACTTTTTTGTCTCGCCATGAGGTTGACATTTGTAGTTTTAAGTGACGTATATCAACAACTATTGAATGGACTGACATGAAAGTTGGACTCTTGTTTTGACAAAGCTGTGTAGTCCATTTATGATCCGTTTTATGTTGGGAAAAGAGCTTTATGTACTTGTAAAAACATTGTTTCTTCCTTTCTGGACTAAAAGGCTTTGATAAATGTGGGCATTTACAGTCCTTTGTGGTTTCAGAGAACAGCTCCGTTGCCTTCTGAGGTTTGAGATGTCGACCTACTGAACTTTGACCCCGACAATCTCTCCTGTCTGACTTTCCTCTGAAGAAGTAGCACAATTTTTCTCCTGAACTTCTCTGCCACAAAGGCATAGAGGACAGGATTGATGCAGCTGTGGAGCAAGGCCATGCTGTTAGTTATAAGCAAGGCCATCTCCACTGAATTCCTCACAGCACAGCTGTTTGGTATCAGACCAGCTCTCAGGCTTGTGTCCACCATCATGGCTATGTTGTAAGGCGTCCAGCACAGCAGAAATGCAATCACCACGGCAATGATCACCTTCATGGCCCGGTGCTTCCGGAAACCTCGAGTGTGTAGGAGCCGTGCGATGGTGACGCTGTAGCAGGCTATCATGACACCCAGAGGGAGAAAGAAGCCAAAAATATGGCGGAACAAGCGAGTGGCAAGCCTCCACGAGGAGGCTCTGCCGATGTTAAAGTTTTCAGAGCAAACCATCTTCTGTGAGGCTGAGTTTGGCTTGGAGGCATCAAAGAAAAGTGCAGGCAGAGCGAGGGCCCAACCGAGGGCCCACACTGCTGCGCAGAGGATCCAGCTGCGCTTTCTCTGGCGGCTGCTTAAACTCTCACTGGCGTGCACTATCACAAGATAACGATCAATGCTGATACAGGCGAGGAAGAGGATGCTGGTGTAGAAGTTTGCTTCGATGACGAGGTTGAGGAACTTGCACATGAAGTCTCCAAAGACCCATCCTTGGACCATTGCAACAGCCCAGAATGGGAGGGTTAAGGCCATCAGACCATCTGCCACCGTCAGGTGAAACAAGTACATATCGGATGGAGTCAGCGCCTGTCTGCTGGTGCTGATCACCCACCCCACCATCAAGTTCCCTGGTATTGCCAGTAAAAAGATGGCAATGAGGATGAGGCACAGGGTCACATATATTGCAGGATCCGGTTCCATCGCACATGGTGAAAAATTTAGCTCGGGAACGTAGAGCGTTAGGTTGGAGTGGAGGGTATCATTCTGTAGGTAATCCTCTTCAAAGACATAGACAAGTGACCCCATGACTGTGAATGGAAAACAGATTGATATTAGTACACTATCATGGATGTACAAAGACATTGATTCAGCTTCTGCCATGTTTGAAATGATTGACATTAAGCGGCATAAAGCATGCCAATTTTGAAACCCTCCTCTGTTGTTTAGTAATGCTCTACACTTTCCCAAATGACATTTTATAAGAGGAGGAAACAACAGCAAGAGCATGATTACTTTTAAATGTTTTAAAAATGAATGATGAATTTTATACAGTGCGAGGCTTCCAGATTAGTGTTGTGCAACTTTAAAGTGACTTTAAGTAAGGAGAAGAGTCACACAGACAGTAAACTGACTCAGTATTGTCAGTTAAACAGCAATGTTTACCTAAAGATTGCTATCTTTAGCCACCATGAGCTTTTGTTTTTCAGAAGTTATGCAGTCTCTCTTTAACAGTGATGTAAAGTAACTAAGTAGCTATATTTATTGTAGTATACTGTACAATTTGAAGTTTTGTCTTGTACTTTACTTGAGTGTTTCTATTTTCTGCTACTACATACTTCTACTCCATTATAATTTATGGGCAAATATTATACTTCTTACTCAGCTACATTTATTTGATCACTTTAGTTAATAGTTTCAGCATTTTGCAGATTTAGATTATTAATACAAGATATAATCAACAAATAATATCTAATATTATTATGAATAAGATTATATTGATCCCAAGAGAATTCACAAGGTGCCCAGCAGTATATAAAGCAACTATAAAGTAAATATATAAATAAATAGAAATTAGCCCCACATTTACCTGCTGCAATATTAAAGTATGTGTACAAATAAATCCATCAATAATTATAATCCAATCATTTCATGATAATTTGACATAATTTTGAAATGGACCATTCAGTATAATTAGTTTACTTTTGGCACTTTAAGTATATTTAAATGCTAATATTTTTGTACTTTTAGGGCTATTACTTGTAAAAGAGTATATCTATACTGGAATTGCTACTTTAACCTAAATAAAAGATCTGAGGACTTCTTCCACCACTGTTCTTTAATGAATACACATTTAATTACGTTTTTTAAACGTTCCATCATTGTACTTTTCCCATATAAGAATAAACAAGCAAGTACGGACACTCACCTTCTGCATGGGCTTTGCTTCAGCTTTCAAAGATGACAACAGCTTCGCACCCTCACAAATGAGAATGCCGAAGAGCATACCTTTAAGTGTGGTACAATATGGGATTTTTTATTTTGTTAATGGAGTGTTGACCCAATTTCCTGTTTCCTTCTCGAATATGTTATTGCACGTGTGTGTCATCAAAGGTTTTTGCTGCAATGGGCCTTTTTCACATGTCGACATGTCACAGTAAGAAAGGCACAGGCTCACTGTCACACTGTTATGGCCCACAGAGACACCAGAATATGATGGAGTCATCCTTATTTTGTTATAAGTAACAGTGCTTTTACTATACCAAAAAGTATGAGACCTGAATTAGGAAAACTGCCAACAAAATTGCTGTAATTTACACAAAACACAAAAAGGAGGAGTTGTTAATTTGATGTATTAAATTACATTATTTATTAGTAGGAGATAAGAGAGGGTCATTTCTTTTTAAAAACAGGCGGATCCTTCAGAACTTGGAACAGCAGGAATGTTATCCTATTATTACATACATTTTTAATTTATTCATCCATGAAAATGACAGTGTTCGCCCAACGTGGTAAAAACACTTTACAAATAAACATTCATAAAATAAAAACATAGATTAAAAAAACAGAATATATTACATAATAAAGCAATTAAAAAATGTTAAAACAAACAATCCAAACAACATGAAAGCAGATTTAAATTGTCAATCGTCATCAACAGTTAAAAGTTCAACTTCTGCAAATAAAATTTGACAATGTTATCATCAAATCATTAAAAAAGTGATTGACCCAACATGGGGGTCACGATATGTGACTCGAGAGAGACTTCTTGTTAAAAACACAGGGTGTCACCGGGAGTCACTCGAAGGGATCCTTTCCATGATGTCAGACACCTGGTATAACAGTCTGAGCCTGTCAGATAAAACAACAGGTCCTGGTGCCTCCAAAATAAAGCTGCATAGTAAACAGTGTAAAATCCTGTTTGGCCTTTTTAGAGGCTTTAAATTGATACACCTTAATACATTTGGAACGACTACTTCAAAACTCTGGCTAACACACCAGATGTCCCAAAGAACATTTGACGTGACCCTGTTGCAAGGCATTGGGTAATCAGGGGTGTGCGGTAAGGTGTTTTTCAAATCAGCAAGTCAGGGTGTCAGATGGGACGCTTTGTGGAAATGAAATACTTGGTAAATACTTTCTGTTGCAAACGTCCGGTATCGTCCCTTTGTTTTGTTCCCACACTGTGTCTACTATGAAAAAAATTGTTTTAGGTGAGAATTTGCTGATTTTTTCTGTGAGCCTAGTCAACATG